GTCACGGACTGCACACTGGATTCACGCGCACTCACATACCCTCGCTTGCGTTTCCCTAGCATGGGCTCTATGCCTGTTCCCTGCGACCCTGACGCAGACCCACCGACGCCAGCCGACTGTCCGGCAGATGCTCCACCCATTCCATCCTCAGCCTCCGCAGCAAGATCTTCATCTTCCAAAYGCTCCTCGTCTGCACCGGAGTCCATCAGATTTGACAAGTCGATGGAGTCCTTGTCCTTCTCGCYCGGGTCTATGATGTCGTACCAGCTCCGTTTGAGTACGAAATCGACGTTGTACCTCTTTCTCTGAGCCTTGTTCATATCCCAGTAACTCATGCGTCCGGACCACTTCTCATGYGCCTTCAGCCTCCTGTASTATTCCATAATCTGATTAAACTTATTCTTACACTGGTCATCCTTCCGGTTGTAACCCTTCTCCCGCATCCGCTGCTCCACAATTTTCCAAAAACCGGCTTTCAAACGGGCACGTCCGTACACCTCGGTGTCTTCTCCCATGAGCGTCCTCACCTCGTTCCGATAGCGACAAAGCCAGTCCGTCTCTTTGTCCCCCCACCTCTCGTTATTGGGTGGGGGCGACGCAGAGCGCTGGCCCGGTACCGCAGATGCCCCCCCGCCCGACTGTGAAGCGGTGGTCCCGGGCCCGGACTGCAATCCGCTTGGGACAGGAGAGGGCGTGTCAGTGCGCACACCTGAGCTGCGAGCGCAGCTGGATGGGGTCTGCTGCCGGGGCGTCTCCTCTTCGAAGATGTCGTTCGTACCAACATCAACGTTGTGCACAGGTTGAACACCCAAGGGACAACGTTCGTTGTCACGTATCAAGCAGTTCAGCATGTACGTGGACGGAGGACTCTGTTCATTGCACGGCAACGCAGTGTCACCCGCATCGCCGTGCATGTGCTGAAGTGACGCGTYACCTCCATGGCCATGCGTTGTCCCCGACCCAGCAGGACTTTGCTGTGCACTTACCGTGGCACTCCCCCGAGAAAAACCACCGGAACCAGCGGGACTGCCATGGTGGACGGCCTCCGGCCTCGGAGCAGAGGCAGCAGACCCTCCCAGCATCCCAACGTCACAGTCTGCGGGGAGACCCTCAGCGAGACGCATCGCACGCTCTCGCAAGCTCTGCCTCAACGCGTTTTCGTTCTCACCTCCCAGGCCGATCCTGAACCCGCGGACCGGTGTGAYAGGCGAGGATAGTGGTGCACCACCCGTGACTGCATGGGTGGGTTGCAGGGTGCCCCCCACGCCATCTGTGACCTTCCACACACACGGACCATGACCCCGGCCTGTCCCTGCTGAGTTCGTCGGTGGTGCTGCAACTCTGGCACTAGGACACACTGGATGCTGCACTGCGATAGACGGAGGAGAGGTGACTGCCTCTTGTGGGAGCTGCGCCGGGTATGGTGGTTCGAATCCACCGCCACATGCATCCATACTGGAGCACTGGCCAGGGACGACGTCCCCCTGCCCCAGGACCTGCGAGGAGTGCACAGGGCCAACTTCCGCTTCAAACGGACCCAGGTTCTGGGACTCGCTATACCCCCAGTCCGGGATCCCTGACAGGCCTGCACCGCAATAACCAGTGTGGTTCGCCATGAACAGAGACGGCGTCTTAGCTGTCGTTCGTTCACTGTGAGCAAGGGCGCCTTGGCCATGGATCACGAAGCCTACACTGAACGCAATGGAACGTGGACGTCAACGACGAAAGGTAGCAGAGCAGTATTTGCAYCGCAATAACCACTGGCACGACACGAGATGGAATCGAGATCTAACCATCTCACGAAGATCTACGAGCAGTAACATGGAAACCCARTGAGGCTACAAGGGGAYGTCGACGTTTCCACATGCAGACCCRTGCTGCATGCGGCCACCGCTCCCCGCTCACCACGATCACAAGGTGCTACCTTTGGCGAATGCAACTACACTATGATTTTGGCCAGATGCGGACAGCGCGAATGAACGTCAGCGTCGGTGCAAGTCCAGGTTCACAGACTATCGCCACTACAACTCAGCCGTGCATTCCGGCGCGTTAAGGGACCTCTAACAGCTTAATAACGTCGTCGTAGAGGAGGACAAACCGTGCCAAACGAGTTTTGAGACGGAAACAAAAAAAAGTGAAGCTGCAAAAACAGCCCACATGAAAATTTTCCATAAAAACGAGGCTTCCCGCCCGACGAACTTGCTCCCAACAAAAACGCGAATATATATTTCAAAATTTTCTATTGGACGCGGGTATTCAAAACAGAGGCGGGATATCAAAAAACATCACCCGCGTCGATCGGGGCCACGATCTGCGGTCACCCGTGGTCACCCACGGCCGAACGTGGTCGAAAGCCCTGCGTCCTAGCAAAACTCTTCGCTAGTCGGACTTGACCCCTGGACCACTTGCTACGCCTGAACAAAAGAATATTCGAAAATCATAAAAGAAAATTATTACTATTATTGTTTAAATTTTTTTAAGTGAAGGTAGAAGAATCGACGTGGGCGATAATCCCATGGGGATGTTATCTCTAAAACAAAAAAAAACAAAAAAAGTTAATTTCAAAAATATTGCTTTTTTCAAGTCGGGCGTGGCCACGACCAACATGCCTCTGCCACGCCCGCAAACAAAAAAAAAAAAAAAAAAAAAAAAAAAAGCTGCGTGCCTGAGGCCAGAACGGTGAGTCCCTGAGTCCCTTACGCCAGAGGCCTGGGGGTCCTTGGCTATCAAACTTGGCGAAATCACAAAAGAAAATAATTATTATTATTGTTTTTTTTTTTAAGTGAAGGCACAAGAATCGACGTGGGCGATAATCCCATGGGGTTTTTTCTTGAAAACAAAAAACAGAACAAAAAAAAAAAGGG